TAATTATTACAGTACTCCATCGATGTGACAGAGAACACGCAAAAAGCAGAGGACTTCACATTAATGACGAGGTGATTGTTGAGTCTCAGGGTGATGAAAATCACTACTCCCCCTCCTTTCTGCTCACTCACTTAATCTGCCAAGCTGCTGACAATTAACTGCATTCTACAAGCATGCAATGGAGTACTGTAATAATTATTAGTTTAAAGCTAGGATCTTATGCAAATTTACTTAAGAGTAGAAACTCCTAGGGGAGGGGTGTCAAACTCACATCATCACGGTGGCGTCACATGACATATCAGGACTTTCCCCTCCCCCTTCGCTAAACCAGGCGTGACCGCAGCCAGCACATGACGCTGGGAGTTTGACAGCTGTGTCTTAGGCTATATCAAAACAACTTGCTTAGGGTTATATGACACAACTCTTTGTCAGATTCAGCCTCCCTCTGCCAGGAAGATCATTGGTTGAGTCATCGATGCAGATATTCCCACATAGAGCCGAGGTGGCGCAGTGGTTAGAGTGCAGTACTGCAGGCCACTTCAGCTGACTGCTATCTGCAGTTCAGTGGTTCAAATCTCACTGACTCAAGGTTGACTGAGCCTTCCATCCTTCCGAGGTGGGTGAAATGAGGACCCAGACTGTGGGGGCAATTTGCTGACTCTGTAAACCGCTTAGAGAGGGGCTGAAAGCCCTATGAAGCGGTATATAAGTCTAACTGCTACTCCTATTGCTATATTTGAGCAGTGGGGTATTCCAAGTTTGGGAGTTAACAAAATGTATTATAATTACTGGATTAAGATTCATTTGCAAGTAAGCAGCATCTGAAAACTGCTATACATTTTGAGAGTAAATATAGGTAACATTATCTACTGTGTAGTAAATCTAATAGTAGACTGAAGTACAAGGGATGTCTCTCACTAAGCCCTTAGCATGAAACAAACAGAATTAAGATGTTGAGCTCATTAATTAAAATAGATCATAATTTAGCAAATACTTGCCTCCACCCTTGAAATATGTGGAATTGAAATGGGTAAGCCATCATGTCTTCCCATCAAGTTTCTATAAGCTTTACGGGGAATAATATTGCTAATGGGATGCTAAATCAGTTGCGTGAATAAACCTTCTGAAGTGCTATACAAATGCTCATTATTCTCAGATGACAGTTGCATTTTGCAGGAAAAAAATGACAATCCTCTCTTGAGGAAGTATTTAGTAACATAAATCTCAAAGTACTTGTTCATATTAGATAATCTACAGAGAACATGAGGCATTTTAAAGAGAAGTTCCTGTAGAGTGGAAGAAATTATACCCCAATAGCATTTTTCTTTTGGAAAGGATTACAGGTGACTCTAGCTGTTTTTTAATGGATACAGCTGAAGAGTGTAAAGCTGTGAGAGGTTTTTTTACCTCTTTTAATCTCAGGAAACCAAAACATATTTGGAAGATGTCATTTTTGATTTGGATGCAGGGCAATAGAGCCAAGGTGGTGCAGTGGTTAAATGCAGCACTGCAGGCTACTTCAGCTGACTGCAGTTCTGCAGTTCAAATCTCACCGGCTCAAGGTTGACTCAGCCTTCCATCCT